CGCGGGGCGCGCCTGCCCGGGCTGCGCTCATTGGCTGGCGCGGGGCCAGGAGGTGCGCTGGGCCGGCGGCAGCCCTCCCTCTCCCGGTTCCGCGCAGGCAGAGGTGCCTTCTCCAATGCGGCCCCCGTGATTCTGGGAAGCCTACACAGGTTCCCCACCCATCCGTCGCGCACCCACGTTCGGCCCCGACCTGGGCTGTTTGCCGGTCGAGAAGGGGAGCACGGCTATTTTCTAAAGTAAAACGAGCTGCTTTCGCACCAGACTTTCCCGAGGACCAAGGGCTGTAGATTGTCCGTGTTAACGTGAAGGTGAAGGAGATAATGAGGGTTGACACCCTCCAAGCCCTCCTGCTGCCACTGGTGGGCCGGCGCTCCTAGGCAGCGCGGGGTTAACAGGTGAAGGCGCAGACCGTGGATGGTGGTGGGTAGTTCGGCTTAGGCTCCAGCACCCTTCGGACTTGAGTGTGGACTTGAGCCCCACTGGGGCTCAGAGCTCCCTGCAGTGCTCCCCGCACCCACCGAGACTGCTATCTGGGGAACCTTCCTCATTCCGAGTTGGGAGAGTTTCCAGGGTCCCTGGCCTTATTCCCTGGTCCACCAAGGTTCTGAGCAGAGAGCTAAGATTCCTGCCCTGTTGCTGCTGAGGGGAGAGATTGACCCTGGCGGGCGGGGGTGGGGAGAGCAGGCGAGGAACGGCTTGGCTGGGAGACTTGCAGATACTGAAAGGCATAGGTGGGGCTGGATGGCCAAGTGCCTGCCAGGCACTGAGCCTGCCTCATGATCTTTTAAATTATTTCAAAAGACCCAGCGAGGTAGGGCTTTTTGTTGGTCGTCTGCTCTTCGTTTGCTTTTACATTGATGCGTTAGGCTCCTACGGCCCAGGGACATGTCCAGTGTCACAGGGCTTATCCTGTGAACCGGGTCGGAACCCTGCTGTGTGTGCCTGGCCGTGGCCATCGGGACATCCCACCCCAGTCTCCCACCCCACGGACTTCAGAGAACGGACCCAACTTGGCCAGGGCAAGGTTTGCTGCAGATTGAGAGTCATGGGGAGGGGAGGAGGTGCCTGGGGTCAGAGGAGGCCTGTCCCCTAAGTCTGTTTGATCTCAGGCCAGAAACCTGACCCTTGGGCCTGGTGCCCATGTTTGTCTGCAAAAGAGCTGCGAATTCTGAATTCTGGCTCCCAGCTCCCAGTGGGAGGGTTGGAGGAAGAATGAAGGAGTGAGTAAGGGAGTGGGTGAGTGCAGACGTGCTTTGGAGCTGGGTGAGAACTGCTCCCAAAGACCCCTGTCATCCTGGCACCCACTTTGCCCCTCCCATTTCCTCGGCAGAGGAGGGCAATTGTTCTGTTCAAGCCTTCAGGGGTCCACACCCTGCCCAAGATCCAGCACCCTCAGCCCAGCAACCGCCCTCATTTCAGAGTTTGGAGAGATCCAAGGACCGGCTCCCCGGGCCCCTGATTCTTGGTCTGCAAGGGTTCGTGATGGCGCCCTAAGATTCCAGGAGTCTGCGCGTGGGACCCAGAGCTTCTGCCCAGCTTCTCGGCCCACCTGCTCCCCAAAGAACACACACGTGCAGGGTCTGGCCATTTGAGGCCTGTTTATTGACACGCACAGACCTAAGCCGGTGGGGCAGGGGACTCATCGGTACTTCTCAGTCAGCACCATGGCTACTTCGGTCAAGAACTTGTCCCACGCCGCCTGCATCTGCACGGTGAACTCGCCCTGCAGGTGGGAGGCCAGCATCACATGGAAACACTGGATCAGCAGCTGTGGGAGGAGGGGCAGATGAGAGGGGGTCTGCTGCAGCCACTTTGTCCTTTAACCCCAACCCCGGCTGCCGGCGCCAAGTCTACCGCGGCGGGGGCGGGCTCACAGGGAAGTTGGCGGGGTCCACGCGTAGCACTTGCGCGTGCAGGTCGGCGAGCGGGCTCAGGACGGCGCGCAGGTGGTCGGTGTGTTGCACGGCCACGCCCACCGCCTCGAGCACGCGTTGTCCGTGGGTCAGTAGCTGAGCCTCGTCGGGGCAGACGCCCAGGTGCTTGAAGTAGATCTTGGTGCTGGGATAGACCGTGAAGAGCCTGGTGGAGCAGGTCGGTGAGTGAGGGTGGCCGCGTGGGGTCCTTCCGGCGCCGGCACCTCCCAGACACCCGGAACCCCAGCCTGGCCCGCCCCTCTGACTCGGGCCCCCAACCCCTGTGTCCGCCTCCCTGTGACCCTGGAAACCCCGCCTCAACCCACCTGAGCAACAGCTCCGCCCCGAAGGCCGCCTCGTGGCCGGCGATCAGGTCCCAGACCTGCGCTACGTGGGCGCGCTCTTGGGCGCTGAGCATGGCGCCGGCCGGGCGTGCGCTGGCGGCCCCACCCGCCGCTCCCGCCTCCTTATAGCAGCCCCCACGCCTTCCAGGCGCCCCACCCGCCCTTATCTGCGGGACCCTCGGCCAGCTCGGGGAAATGCCTCCAGCCCAGGTCCCGATCGCTGCAGAGGCCACGGCCTGGGGCGGGCGGGGCCGGGGGTTACCGGCACCGACTCACGCCGCTGTGCGTGCGTGCTTTTGCTGCAGACTTGCGCGAAATCGGGAGAGCCTCCCCTGCGGGCAGCGTCAGAGCCTCTGCAGGAGGGAGCCAGTGGAGGGATTGGGAGAAAGAGCGCTGGGCAGGGACGCTTCTTTTCCGCTAGGGACACGGGAAGCGTATCGTGGGTCCCCGCAGTGCGGGAGCTATGGTGTCAGGCTTTGAGGCAAAGCCCCCTGAGTGCCGACACGCACCACACACGCACGCGACACGCTGAGTAAAGCGACGATCTTTGGGCGATTTGGGAAGCAGGACAGGAGCAAACGCACCTCGGACCCTGGAGAACCAGCCTGGGGCCGATCTACTCTCTCCCGATTCTGGGGTCCGCAGGCGCAGGGATCGAGCCACAGCGCCCTCGGGGTGGCCTCCAGGCCGGTGGTGACGCTGGGGTCCACCGCGTTCCTGTGGCTTACGCTTTCTGTGCCTCACTTTCTCCCTTCCTTTGGCCAATACTGAGAACGCAGGACCCATTGCATCCGCATCCATTTATTGGGGGCAAAATTGAGGGAAGTTGCAGGGGCAGGGGCGGGGTCGCAGCCGGCCCCCGGCCTGGCGGCGGCGCTCAGCGGTACTTCTCGGTCAGGACGCAGGACACGATGGACAGGAACTTGTCCCAGGCGGTATGGGCGTCAGCCGTGAAGTCAGCGGGGAAGTGCGAGGCCACCGTGACCAGCAGACAGTGGGACAGGAGCTGGGGGGCCGGGAGGGCGGCTCAGCGCGAGGCCGGGGTGCTCTGCGGGGGCTCTGGGGTGGGCGGAGCACCTTCGGCGGCCGACACCCTGTCCCGCCCCGGCCCCCCCCCCCCCGCCTCGTCCCCGCCAGGACCCCGGCCCCCACGCGCACCTTGAAGTTGACCGGGTCCACGCGCAGAACGTAGGCGTGCATCTCACTCAGCTTGGACAGGGCGCCCGCGATGTTGTCGATGCTCTTGACCGCATCGCCCAGGGCGGCCGCCACCTTGGCGCCGTGCGTGCGCAGGTGCGCGGAGCCCGGGCGCAGGTCGAAGTGCGGGAAGTAGGTCTTGGTCTGGGGGTAGCTGGCGAAGAGCCTGCGGGACGGCGGGACCTGAGCATTGGAGGAACCTGGGTCGGGGGGGGGCCGGGGGGCCCCGGCCACCGCTCTACGACCCCTGCGTCCTTCTCCGAGCCTGAGGACCCAAGTGCGACCTCACCACCGCCCTGGGGCCTTCCAGCTCAGCAGGTGCACCACTTCCTGAGGTGTGCTGTGCTCTGACTGCTGCCCTTCCCCCAAGCTGCACCCCACGGTCCCAAGGCCTTCTGCCTCCACACCCTCCCAGCACCCAGGCTCGCCCCTGCTCCCCACCTCAGCCCTCTTCCAGGGTCTCCTTGCTCCCAGCTGGCCCTGCACACCCACCGTGGGCCTCCAGCCCGTTCTCACCTCTCCTCCGGCCACAAAAACCTCCTTCCCAACCCCTGACCGGGCTCCCGCTGTACCTACCGT